AGTTGCACATGAGTGAACTGATGCCCAGGTCTGTGAGTTTGGTAATGAGTTGTGATGGAATGACAGTGTTAAATGCTGAACTAAAGTCTAAGAACAGCATTCTGGCATAAGTGTTCTTGCTGTCCAGATGAGAGAGGACAGAGTGCAGTGCTATGGAGACTGCGTCCTCTGTGCTCCTGTTCTGCCTGAATGCAAACTGGTGGGGGTCCAGTGTGGGTGGGAGACRGGATCTAAGGTGTGCTAAGACCAGGCGCTCCAAGCACTTGGTAATGATGGGGGTGAGGGCTACCGGACGGTAGTCATTGAGTCTGGTTGGGTTGGAATTCTTGGGGATTGGGATGATGGAGGTAGACTTGAAGCAGGTCGGTACCACAGCGCGGGCCAGGGACAGGTTGAAGATCTCTGTTAGCACTCCTGCCAGCTCCTCAGAGCACGCTCTAAGGACACGTCCAGGTATGCCATCAGGACCCGCAGCCTTGTGTGATTTAATCCTGCTCATAGCCGCTCCTACGTCAGTGGAGAAGAGAATCAGCGGCTGTTGGTCTGAGGTGGTGGTTGCCTTAGTTGGAGTTGTGGTGTTCCCTCTTTCAAAACGAGCATAGAAGTTGTTAAGCTCGTTGAGGAAGGAGACATCCGAGGAGGCGGGGTTGGTGTTGGGATTCTTGTAGTCTGTGAGAATCTGAAGGCCTTGCCACATACTTCGGTGGTTGGATTTGGAAAAGTGATCCTCCACCTTCTTTTTGTAGTGGTGTTTGGCCTTCTTGATTCCCCTCTTCAGCTCAGCTCAGCCCTGGCTGCACTGTAGGTCTGTGCATCCCCTGACCTGAAGGCGATGTTGCGGGCCTTCAGCAGGAGACAAACATCTCGGTTCATCCAGGGTTTCTGGTTAGGGTACATGGTGATGCGTTTATGGGTGGTGACGGAGTCTATGGTAGTGGAAATGTGGTCCAATACAGATGAAGCGTACTGATCCAAGTCTGTGTGGTGGAAAGTATTCCAATCWGTGTTCCTGAACCGATCCTGGAGCACAGCRTCTGAACCCACTGGCCACACCTTTACTCTCCTCACAGTGGGTTTCACACGTTGGATGAGTGGTGAATACCGAGGTGTGAGGAACAGGGAGAGATGATCTGATTGTCCGATGTGGGGGAGCGGTGTCGCCTTGTAAGCTCCAGTCAGATTGGAGTA